TTTGCTGGGAACACTATGCACCTTGTTTTGTAGACGAGCGAGGATCAGTTCTGTTTACAATACTGACGACTGTTTGTGCGAATTCATTCGTGATAATATTTTCCGAAGCGATTTTCTACTACATGGAAAACAAGCAAGCGGTCGGAAGACGTGACGCGACCGCGCGTATCACTGTCACATGTCTAGGACAAATGCATTTATTTTATTGGCTATCGAAGACGCTCAGTTTCTTCCTTTTTTAATCATCATGTTTTATGTGTTAAGGGAAATCAAGCATCGTCAATGGGACCGCGCCGCGACCGCACGCGGCGAAGACCAGCATTCCAAAGAAATTTTGCAGTGATAGCGGAACTTTTCAAACATCATCAAAGAATCGACATTGGTATATTTACCTATTTCCAACTGGAACACCTTCAAGTTCCAATCGCCACAACATCGATGCCGCATCCACGATGTCCAGCATAGCTCCGCTTTTCTTGGCACGTTGTAGGATTTCTCTGATATTTTGAAAGACGGTACAACATCCCAATTTGAAAGGTGGTGTTAAGGCTTTGATCAATTATTACTGAGAAAATAAGCCGAAAAAGATTGATAATACATTTACAAATGAGCGTACTTGTCATAAATTTCCAACGGAACTTCGACGTTGCCATTCTCGAGGTAGTACAGAGCGTTGTGCCAAAAATTATGCGAAGCAAGCATCCATCCTGGCTAAACTTACCTTATTATCGGTGCTGAGAATGAAAATACCATTAAAATTTGAGGAAAAACGATAAATATAAGGGAAAAATCAGGAAAATCGACAACTATTGATCGTCAATTCGACTGAGGATACGCCGCGCCCTCCGACACCCACTCAGAATCGTAATGGCGTATGAATGCGTACTTGGCTCATACAATATTTTGCACGACAGTCACCCCATGTACGTGCCTTTTTTGAGATCCCACTTAAGTTTACCAACTACGCGACCAGGGGAAACGAAGGCCTGATTAACCAAGGCGGTTACAAATTCAGGATTCGATCCAGGCGTGGCAGAGCCGCGCCGCCCCACCTCCACTTATCGGTTAGTCGAAAGTTGGATAGAGGCAAAGTAATAATCAGACAAAAATGCCCACCTTCCAATCATCGACGGTGCTCTCCAAGAATTTGATGCCCTCATCGAACCGTCCTTCCATTTCCAATACGTGAGCTAGTGCATGAGTCGACCAGCAATCGAACCGATTGAGTTCAAGCCCCTAAAGTCATTTTAAAATAGCCTTCGGGAGTAGACTCATTATGCTCTATAGAGNAAAAAAAATCGCCGGATTTTCTACAACTGCAGGCACAAATTTTCGGAAAAACTGACTGACTGACTAACTTCATACGACAAACTCAAATATCAACATTCGTCTTCCTCAATTATACGAAAGGGTTGTTTTGGGGTTTATTCGTTGAGAACTTAAGAATTGCAACTTCGTTGAGAAAAGCTTAACAACCCAAAATCTCAGTCTGGTCTGTTAGCGTTATAGCGAATGCTACAAAAAGTCGGACTTCAAAAACTTGCAAAGATCCTTCTGTTTTGAAGCCGAAAATGATGGACCACAATCAGTCGCTGTTTATTTGATCAAAAGTTCAGAAAGGTAGAAATGCCTGTCAAATTCGGGTTTGAAAGCCCGCTTGAGGGATCGAAAGGGGCTTGGGTGTGTTATGTATCGACCTAGGACGCATTTGTAAGGAATTCGTTGAAATTCTGAGAGCTCATGGTTCATGGGGAAGTTAAACCCTGCAGGAAGTGGGGTGTGAATACAGCTGAAACTTGTGACCAATCAACACCGAGAGCGGGGTTTCCATTCCGCAGTCAGCTGTGCGAGTTCCTGAACTTTGACTTTTCTCTGCAATACACGGTTCCGTTGACGGTAACGGGGTTCGTCTTAATAATTTTGCCAGGCACAAGAAATTCTGCTCAGGATCCGAATCCTCGACATAACAAGTATGAGCCCGAACACGTGCTCGCTGCGCTATGGGACCACAAACGCGTTGCGACAATTTAAGCTAAAAAGCTCTCCCAGCCCGTCCATTGGCCGGGGGACGCTTGGGCCCAATCACGACAAGCCCACATACCTCCTGTGGAGGAGGCCCTGAAGAAGCCATAGGCACGTATTTCACTATTTTGATGGCTTCCGAGCGGAAGTGGACGGAGGCTCGGCTCTCCGGGAGTCCAGAAACATGGAGTGTGGACTCGGCCGTTGACGAGGTCCTCGACGGGGCTCCATCAAGGTAAATACCGTATCTGCTGCTGTCTTACTAGTAGCTTCCAACTTACATCCGTTTCTTGAAATTCTCCATCTGCCTTCCTTTTCATATTATCGGACCTATGCCTCGACTGCTTCATCCTTCTGAACTGTTTGTCGTTCTTTGGCGGCTGGATCCCACTTCCACTGGTGCTTTACGCTGTTTGACTGCAACGTATCCCAAACTAATCAATTGGTGAGGGTCTTCAATTGAGGGAGGGCAGGGAAATGCGTATGTGAGTTGAACTGCACCAGGCTTCCAGTAAATGTTATGAACCGCAGTAACAGCGAAGAACAAAACTGCCTATGCAAGTACCCGAAGAAGAAAGAAGTTACCCCTATCTTTTAGCAAGAGACAAGACACTGACAAGTGATTGAATGATTGCCAAAATTTCCTTGCGTGCTAGTTTTAATCTCATGGCCGTTCACATAGAAGCTCGCTGTTTTGTTTGTTTGTTTTCTTCGGATCAGCTTAGGGTAAGTATGAAGCCTTGCCAGTGATTTACTAGTGGCCCATAGTGAATAGCGAATTCTATTCCTTTCTTCTTTTTTTACTCTATCAACGCCTCTGGCAATAGCAAAAACCCATTCACAAGGCGAGAACGAACCCTATCACTGTAGGCGAGAACCATGAACCTTACCACTAAGCCATCAGATGACATGGCGAAGAGGTGTACGAAACATCGTTCTGGGTTCTCTGGAGAATCGGGAGATGGGAGAGGATGTGAAGTTTTAAGTAGGAGTGGGAAGTAAATAATTTATTCGGGAAAACAAGGGGTGTTTCCCATTGGACCGATTTCACTCAACACTACACTCCTTTGAAAGCAATGGTGACGTCTTTCAGATGCCAATTATCGAAAAAAAAATCACAATTACAATAAATACAAAGCCGGCCAGGTTCTTACAAAAGTGCAAAAATAGGGCAAATTTTGGAATGGAACAAGTATGACCAATTAAAGGAAATTATCACAAAAAAGCATCTACATTGGATGAAGCTCTCTGTATCGATAGGCAAGTCGTTCACTGATTTTCGACATCTTTTTCATGGCATTCCTTTCGTTGAGGATCTTCCTGAAAATTTCGATACACCACTTCAATCATTCCTTCGTTCAATGAGGGCAGAACTTACTCGGTCAAACCACTGATCTCCTCGTTTTTTGCCTTCATACAAGCATGGATCAATGTCTGGGTGAACATATCACGCTAAAAATCAATACTTGTTCAAATCGTGAACGAGATTAATCGATTTTGCAAAGGAATGGCATCATTCAGGGTAAAGTGTTGAACATGCGCTCTGTTTACAACTTTTCCAATTTTTTTTTTGTATACGGATTTGATATTTGCTTCCTTGACTCATATGAAGTAATGGGAAAGAGGACATGAGAAAGCTTCTCGCAACTCCGCTTGGGAAATAACATGCTCCAGCGCAGACACATCAGCAGCGCGGACGCTCACGCGGCCTCGGCTCTTCGCTCTCGACTTCGGCTGCTTTCATAGTCTGCGATTCGGCTCGCGAGCGCGCCGACCGGGGGCGGCGCTTGCCCTCTGTTTACAACTGAATTGGTCGATACCGCCGAATAGTTCCCCGGCCGGCGCGCTCACTCGCGCGCTCGCGGGCCGGATCGCGGACTATGAACGCGGCCAACGCTCATAGCTCAAAGACTAATTCTACAAAATAACCCTGGTTTGAAGGAGCGTCGTTTATTCATTCCTTTGTTTTTCCACTTTTTGTTCACTATTTGCTCTTTTTTAGCTTAAAAGCACGGTTACGAGCACATACAAATTACAGATTACTCAAGCTAACTATCTTTAAATGACCTATAATGCATAAATGCATGCATGCAATAAATATTATATGTTAATGACATTGCTGGGGTTGATCGTGTCAAGACCCCCCTAAAATTGCCGCGCGAGAGAATTCATATCCGGCTCGGCGCTACTGCGGTGCATTTTGACGCATTTTTACAGAAAGCGATGCAGGTCGCCATTCGCCGAGCATAAACGGAAAGTCAATATCGAAATATGACACTGCATTGTTAACAAAGTTCACTGACCCGCTCCTTGCCGTCATATAAGCTATGGTTCGAACTGAAAAAAATTTGGTCAAGTACCTGAGCATTGCTCCCGCCGATAGTATATATCTTGTCACGTATCGGCAACATCCTTTTAGCACAAGCATCATATTCCTTCTTACTGTAATGAGCTATAGCATCGTAGAGGGCTATGCCCACATCTCGGCAACATTTGGCTTGATCATACTCATCGCTTTGAATGTTCCTGAATGGGCTTTTCGAATTTCACCAACCACTTAACATTTTACTACACCACGTTTACCTTTTCCGTTCAATTTTCGGTTTATTTTTATCTACACAACTTCTTAAAATGTTAATTTTTGACTTTACGGAACACACACTGTGCGAATTGCAGCAGAGTCTGATGTAGTCGTTCCTCTTGTTTTCCATAATCACCACCAGCTTCTCGCAGTACCATACCTTCAAAGAAGAAATGATTACCGATTTTTACTTCATTGTTTTCATGAATAAAGAAAAATTTAGAAAATTAGGCAGAGGAACGGGGTGGAATTATCGATTAATCAGTCACTCATATTGCTCAGTTAGAGAGTAGAGAATCAGAGCACAATTCTGCGTCTCTGCCGTTTTTATACTATCACCTATCAACTTTTCAATATTGAACCTAATCTACATGGATTAAAAATCAACACTTACTCATATGGATATCGTTGAAAAACAGTGCATGGTCATCAAGATGAGTCGAAAGGTCCGGAAAATCACGCCACCTGGAGAAGTCGTTGGTATATTTGCTGGGAACACTATGCACCTTGTTTTGTAGACGAGCGAGGATCAGTTCTGTTTACAATACTGACGACTGTTTGTGCGAATTCATTCGTGATAATATTTTCCGAAGCGATTTTCTACTACATGGAAAACAAGCAAGCGGTCGGAAGACGTGACGCGACCGCGCGTATCACTGTCACGTGTCTCGGACAAGTGTATTTATTTTATTGTTTATCAAAAATGGGAAATGGGTTAGCTCAGTTTCTCCTTTTTCAGTCATCATGGCTTATGTGTTAAGGAAAATCAGGTATCGTCAATGGGACCGCGTGAAGACCAGCATTCCAAAGAAATTTTGCAGTGATAGCGAAACTTTTCAAACATCATCAAAGTATCGACATTGGTATATTTACCTATTTCCAACTGCAACACCTTCAAGTTCTAATCGCCATAACATCGACGCCGCATCCACGATGTCCAGCATAGCTCCGCTTTTCTTGGCACGTTGAAAAATTTCTCTGATATTTTGAAAGCTCTTGTTAAGGCTTTATTTAGTTATTACTAAGAAAAATAGCCGAAATAGATTGATAAAGCATTTCAAAAAAAGCGTACTTGTCATAAATTTCTAATGGAACCTCGACATTGCCATTTTCGAGGTAGTACAGAGCGTTGTGCCAAAAATTATGCGAAGCAAGCATCCATCCTGGCTAAACCTTACGTTATTGGCTGCTTTCATAGTCCGCCGGCCGGCCGGC